GTATATTGCCAGCAGAAAATGGTTATAGAAAGTGAATCACCACATCCTCCTGCCCACAGGGCTCCCTATGGGTCTGAAAACTTGGGAGTAGGGGAGTGGCAGCAGCGTTAGTTGCTGCTCCTTTGCTGCCAAATTTTTGGACTTGTGGAGAGGCCCCATGGGCTGGATAGCATGACCCTGTGTACTAGATTGGGCATGTAGGGTTGGAGCGGCAGAGGGGGTGTGATCCAGGCATGTGGGGCTGGGGGTGGATGGGGGCACATAATTTGGACATGTGGGGCCAGGCTGAGGTCTTGGGAGGTAGGGGGCACAAACTGAGCACACCAAGCCAAGGCAGCGGGGAGCCTGATCTGGACACAGGGGGCAAGCCAAGGCAGTGCAGAGACCAATCTGAGTATCTGGAACCTTGAGGGTGTGAGGCCTGATCCGGCCCAAAGACTAACCCTTTGCTACTCATCCAACACACAGGGCAAAAAGCTGGAACACCAGTGGTTTAAAGGTTACCTCTACACTCGGTTGCAGCGACTCCCTGAATTGCTTTGTAGACCTACCCATAATGCTTTTTATCTGAGGTTCTCAAAGTGTTTTACAAAAATTAATTAAAGCAGAATGAATGTGAAACGCAGCCAACACCTGGAGTGTGGAAATCCCCTGTATCTGAAGCCATGAAAATCTGAACCCACCACCACCACAACACCCAGTAGAATTTCTTAATTGAAGGATGGGGTGCTGAGAGTTTGGCCATGTGGATCATGATTTGCTTACGGTTTAACTTTTGTAGTTTTAAATGCAGTGACACTGTTTCTTACCTGCAGCCTCCTTAAAGACACCTTTTTGCTGTGCCCTTCAATTCTACCTCTGATCCTTGAACTGCTTTGCAATTAGTGCAACACAAAGCTTGATCTAATTAGCACCAGGCTCCACCAGGAACTGGGAATCACTAAGATACAAAGATGAGCACAGGCGCACCCTTTTTCCCCAGCCACACTTCAAATGCTGGTAGCAGGGAATAAGCAGCAGAATGGCGTTCCTGTATATTACCAGTGATATTCCCACATGTGAAAGAAATTCAGGGCATTTTTACACATGCTTGTGTCTCTAGTGGGTTATGGAATAGAGAAAATCCCACACAACTTACTGATTCATTTGATGCACTGGCTGGGGAAATTTTTAGCTACTTGCACGATTTCACAATGGTTGCACACTTAATTCATACAACACAATTTTATTTTAAAATTCTTTGCTATGCATATAACACTTCTTAGCTTTAAGAAATACCACAAACATTAAGAACACAATAACTACATATATCAGAAACAATGCTTCAAATGCACTTCCTTCAAACAATTACAATTACAATTCAAAGTTAAATTTGTATCAATACTATTATTTTCATGATATAGTTACAATCCTAGAATTCCGAGAAGCCAAACAGCGAAATATGGTTTCATTCCTCAGTAGTACAATTTAATGGGTTGGCCTCAGTAGTACAGTTCAGTGGGCTGGCCTCAATACTGATAGGACTAAGTCCCCTTCCTTCAGTCCCTTTCGGGCGCTCTGCGGCTTCAGCGTGAACTAAGAGATTCGTGTTCACAGAGAGGGTGGTTCATGTGATCAGTCTGATCCGGCCTACACTTGCGATTCTTCCTTCGTTGTTCTGCAAGTGAGGTTACCTCCAAATTGGGACAGTAGGTTACAGTTTTTATTGAGTGAGTTGCCGTGTTGGGCCCCTCCTACCCAAACCTGTCTCTACTCCCAAATTTGGGCTCGGATCTTACTCAACAGATTCTTTTGCTAGGTAATCAGTTTCTTTGGTTGATCATTTTAATTACTTTGGGGAATTTCCATATCACTAAATTGACTTTTATTTCCAATCTTGTCAAAGGCTCTAAAGATAAAATTCAAGAGTTAAGACTTTGAGCAAAGTCAGGACCTTCCGCACGTAGACCAAAACAATGGCCTAGATAAGAAGATAAATCTTGTCTTCTTCCTAAACTGGCTAATGGGCAACTATTATAAACATTCAAACTATTTCATTCAATATGACAGCTTGCACCACAACACTAGGTGCTTGTAAAAGCACCCAGCTCTGCGGAGCATACAGTTGTATAAGTGGTAAAATGCATGTCAGCACTGAGAAAATGGTGGTGGCACACTTTTGAACTAAAACGCATTGGAGATGTGTTGGTTCAAAAGCGCACCACTGCCATTTTCTGCACGCTGACACACATTTTGCCACTTATGCAACTGCACATGGCACGGTGGGGTGCACATCAGGTTGCGTGTGGAGCTCTGTAAAAAGTGGGAGGAAAGGGACACTAGAACTTGCTTATGCTGTATTACAGAGGGGACACTAATTTCTTTGTAATGCTGCAGGACTAGACATGGCAAAAATAGGCATCTCATTTGAATCTCCAGAATACGAACACAAATAACTGTGTAGATACTACCCTACTAGGTGTTTTTGAAATACCTACGGCAATAAAGGTAACTTTCACACGAAAAATATGCATTTGCATATGCAGAGTGGATAGCTAAAGATTTGTGCACACAACTACTTATTTTCAAGGCACAGTTACAGAGGCATGTTTTGCCTACATGCTCTAGGGCAGACCTTTGAAGGTTTGACTCAAATAGTTTGCCATTTAGCCAGTGCCTTTTAAACCAGAAAATTAGCACCAGGTAGTGCCACACTTGTTGGTTTTAAAGCTGCTTAGCCTGAAAGCAGAGCAGCATGAAAGAGCTGATTACAGTGTGTGTACAACCAACATCATTTTATGAACAGAGCAGCCTTTCATCCATTCAGGAAGGTAATTCAAATTTTAAAAGGAAACACTAATTGTAAAGAAGGTTGATGTATAAATGAACAAACAAAATTACCCTTTTGACCAAAAAAATACAGTTCTTTGAGCTTTTAGTAATTGTTTTTGTCTAAAGCTAATTATCATTGGCTTGTGCTGTGCTTAATAATTAACTTATTCATAGAACTTTAACTCACATTTATGTGTCTTCCTTATCGTGTGTTTTAATTCATGCCATTTGTGGTTTGGTTCTCACACCTGCTTTAACATATATTTCATATCGCCTTAAAAACATTGCTTTGATCTAAATCTTAATTTTAACCAGGTGACTTCCATTTTTTTAATAATAGCTGCTAAGTGCTTGTGATAAAGTCTGACACTTGCAGTGAACCAAATGGACTGTAAAGGTTAGAAAGCATGGTAATTCCTATTAAACTTGTATCTAGGTATGCCAAGGAATCCCTGCTTGGCAAGCAGGCTTGAATTTTTCTTTTTAAGAGTTGGTGCCCTCTCTCCTGCTTTGAGTGACAGTAGCTTTTCCTTAAATCAGTGCAGGGTCGGGATAGGTGTGGGTCATGTGGCTCTCAAGTATTTTTTCTAGTCAGACCTTGCATCTAAAAACCTACAAGTACTCTCATTTGCTGTGAATTCAGTGAAAACTGAATTTCTGTCAACCAGTAGGGTGTTTTATTGGACAACAGGCCTCCCTCCCAGCTGGAAGTGCCAGGACAACTTTGCATTCTCCTGCCCCCCACCCACCTAAACAGCTCCAGTCCCAGGCTACACTTCTAACCCAACCCTCTGCTGAAATAGCTGACAATAAACCACTGAGAAATAGTTTGCTTAATGAGTAACCAAATGGGTAGTTTATGTAGTTTATGTAGTTTATGTCAAAGGCCTTTTGACATACTGTCTCCTATTATTGATGTGTTTTCTTACTGTTTAGGGTGTACGAATTTGAACATGTCAAAATAATAATTACAAAAACAAAGCCTGGTTTTCTGAGTCACATTAGCAGATTGAAATGTTTATTTTCCTTTAAAAAGTGTTGTAATTGCATATTTCTTTATCCGCCTTCCCCCCTTCCTCAAATCTTTCATGTGGAGATAAGGGGATAGAGTCCCTTCATAAAGCTTTTAGTTTCAAAGAAAGGCCAATGTGTCCCAGAGCATTTTGAGGGAAGTAACTTGACAAATAACAGTAATACATGTGATTAGGGCTTCTGTTTTCCAGTAACCCCAGTGGTTTGTTGCCCTTCTGTTTCATATGTGCTTTGCCTTCCAAAAGATTTAAAACCAATAGTCACTTGCCGACAGGTGCATATAGACCTGTATATGTATAGGCCCCTACCTGCAAATAGTCAGTAATATGCATTGGATAGGCAGAAGTGATATAGCAGTGTGGGGCAGAGGCAGGAGCTAGAACCCAAGGTCCTCATCCTTCGATGGGAGTGCCCATCTCACGGAGCCATACTGCCTCTGGCTGGCTGCCCTTTTTGGTTTCCCAATGGGCTAGGTTCTACAGGAGGGGTGGAGGGCTCGATGGCTCTGCCTAGGCTGTGTCCTACTAGTTAGGGTTTTTTGCTGTGAAATGGGAGCAATGGAGGTTCTGGCCCTCTCTGGGTAAGGGGGACCTAGAATTTGGGTTTTCCTATTCACTGGGCAAGTGCCCTAACTGCTAGGCTATTGAGCTGAAATGTAGAAGGGTCCTCCTATTCTTTGCTCCCACTTCTCCAGTGGAGTTACAAACCTTCCTGAGGGAAATAGGATCTAAAATCTGCACAAGTAGTCTGAAATTCCCATCTCTGGGTACTACTTACCATCTAAAGGTGGAGTTGGTATTTACACAAGGAGTTATTGCAAAATAACTCCTATGAGTTACATTTGTGCCCTGGCTTGCTTCAAAATAACTTCCCTGTGTAGTGATGGTATCCCCTGTACGGTGATTGATCCGGAATGATCATGAGAGCTTTGGTCAGACTTCACAATTCAGAAATGCTAGCCAGACCCTCCCTACCCCATAAACAGGGCAGTTTATAATTCAATGTAGATAATTGCTCTCCTTTACAGCATATGTACCCTGTTCTGTTTGAGTCATGTCCAGCATCTGCCCTACAACAGAACAGAAATGTGTGCAGTAGAAGAATGTATTCTTTCAAGGTTTTTTAATCTTCTTTTTCCCTTTGTGCCTCTTCCCTAGGGAAGAAGATGAGTATTCAGAACTGCGATCAGAGCTCAGCCACAGCCAGCATGAGGTCAATGATGATTCACGCAGCATGGACCAGGATCAGACTTCTGTCTCAGTACCAGAGAACCAGTCCACCATGGTTACTGCTGACATGGGTGAGTGAAATTCTGAAGAGAGAGGATGTTTCTGACAAAAGGAAAGCCATCATAGCCTGCAAAATACTGATCACAGTGTGTAGAAGAGAAGTAAAAATAGAAATAATTTAGGCCTTTAATATGTGCGAGCCGGGAGCAACCCGCGCCCTTTTCGCGCTGCACGCGGGCTGTGGCCAGCAGCCCGGGCACGCCGGGTCGGAGAGGGAAGGCCTTCGAGCTGCTGGAATTAGGCACAAACGCGTAGCGGTAGTTTTAAAGATTGTTTACTTACACCGAGATGGCAGTGGTGCAGGCTGGAAAACTTGATTGAGTTGCAGTTACAGACAAACAACACAGACGGTCTCGTGGAGGTTGCTAGGCTCCACGGTGCAGAGCTCCGGATGCTCTGGGTGAACAAGCCACCAAAATAGAAATCGTAAATACGTCTTATAAAAGTTGCGTTCGAAGACGGGAAGAGGTGGGCGGTGGATCAGGCCGCCACACTCCTCTGGATCTCACACAGGGTTTCTATTACCCTGCCGTGTACCCACAGTCCCCACGAGATGGATGTGGAGTCCTCTTCGGCTTGGGCGGGAACTGCTCAAGCCTCTTATACGGCTAACAGGCCAATCGCTAGCCGCCACGTATGAATAATTTAGCACTAGCCAATCACGGGGAACGAATTTGCATACCGGTGGCGGGAACTCCTTTGCACCGTGCATTCCTCTTGCAACATGAGCAATGCACCCTGCAAAAGAAGCTGCAGAAAAGGCGGGAAACTCGTCCCTGCACCGGGGTTTCGTCTTGCTACAGGAAACTCTCCCGTGCAATGCTCTGCAACTTGGTGGGGATAATTCTGGTGCCGAAGCACACACACAGTCATGCCTTTTGGGTCATGACATAATAAATATGAAATAAAATTATTTTTGCAAAATTGACAGTTTCTTTTAAATGCTGCTACTGTATTTCAAATGTTACCTATTACTAATTGCAGATAAATTTAAGAGGCTTTCATAGGAAGCAGAGCAAGGATTGTTCTTAAACTTGTCTTCCCAAGCAATGATTTTCAAGTTCTATTGCTTTCCGAGAGCCATCAGCTTATGGATAGATAACATTTTTTTTTTTTCAATGACACCTGGCTGCTTTGGGGAGAGTTACAGAATGCTCTTTGTGGCAGGGAGTCTGTTTTTTGAGCTAAGCTCAGGTTAGGAATTTCAGTGCTTTCATGCAAAGCTAGTAGAAGGTGCAGATATCATTTTTAGCAAGGTATGCTCAATATTAGTGTGCATATATTTTTCTAGGCTTTGGAGATGTCACTGATATCCCATTAGAGCGAGAATATCTAAATAACACCCCACTAGATCAAATACTGGTCCTATTTACTTAAGTGGGAACAAGAGCTACATCCTTCACTGTAAAATACCTACTTCCCTTTCTCTTATAAGTGTCTAAAATCCATGCCTCCTTGGGCAAAGTATGGTGTGATAGTTGTTTCCTACATACTTTATTAATTTATGCTAAACACTAAATATGTGCTATTCTCATTCAAGTTGGCGACAATGCAATCATTTTTTAATGGTGGTTATATTTATTTATTTATTTATTTATTTATATGCTGCCCTTCCCAAATAAAGGCTCACAGCAGCTTACAATAAAAGACAAATAACTTCTAAAAATAGAATTAAATATTAAAATAAGAAAGTATAACAAAAGAAACTCCTTTCTCCCAAATTTAAGAACACTTCTACTACATATGCTCCTCTGGAAGGTAGTTTGTCCTATGGTATACTTGGTTAACAAAACTTTTTTTATTTCATGCTTTCTTTATGCAGTAGTTATCCAGGCACCACTTAGTGTTGCCCTGATCTCTGTCTATGGTCTGTACTTTCTGAATAAAGCTTTCTCAGGGTGATGGGTGAATCTTACGTGCCATCCCAAGAAAGAAACAGCATTCTTGTTAAAACACAAAAACTGTGAGACACAGCTCCTACTATACAATGGGTGGGTGGTTCTGTAATTTCATTCCTGCAAATGTTCAATCCCTAGGAAAGTATGCAGTTTATTGAGTCATTGGGTGGTAGTTTGTCCAGTCCTTGAAAAGGAATGTTGAATTGAGACGGTCTGTGACCCCCCTTCTTAAATGATATGAGACAGAATATGATTCATTTCAGTGGAGTTACACCAGGCATAAATTTGTCCCAAATAGTTGATGTACAGGAGGGCCAACCAAAGTCTACAGTTACTGAGTGGATATTAAGACCAAAAATGTGGCTTGAAAGCAGAACTGTATGCGTGCTTTCATGTGCTGGAGGAGGGGGGCATTATGGTTTCAGAGTTGTGGGTTTTATTTTCAATAACTGATATGCTACATTGTGTACACATATTTGGATAAGTGTTTGGATGTCACAGGATTGAAAAAATAAAACAAGATGCTTAGGTCCTGTTCTTTCCCCCAGGTGCTATGAGGATGTGCATGAGTTCAGCCAGTTTCATTCCACACCAAGGAATTAGGTCAGTGCTGATTTACACGTTCTGCAATCTTGTTGATTCAGAAGGATTATGTGATGTGTAAATCAACACTGAATCAGTCCCTGAGTATTAAAACACTGTTTCTTTTATATTGTGTTTCCTGTTAGTAAATTTAGCCTGTTCCTTAACACAGACATGTCTGTACACATTTGCAACATGAGCAAAAGTTAAACCTTTTTATGCCTTTATACATTAGCATTAACTGACCTGCTCTTGTTGCTGCTGATCAAAACTTTAGGTTAACAGAACCATGTCATTGGTATAATATTTTATTATGATTTGGCTTCTTGCCCTATCTCTGTAATGGATTGTTCCTCTTGTCTTTCCCCTAATTTTTAAACCTCAACTGTATATTTTATTATGTGAAAAATAAACAGCTCTCTGCCATTTGCTCATTAAGTAAATTACATTGGGGGTGAAAGAGTTTCTGTGGATAGGTCCTGCTACCATACATAAGGACCATTATAGAAAATCATTAAAACAGGCATCTTTTTCATTCCTGTTGCTAAATTTGAAATTCTCAAATATCAAGCCATAAACTCTTTGTGAGGCTGTGTTTATTGTGTCAAAACATGCAGTAGATGCTTCCCTATATGTGGTAAGCTGTCGCCACTGAACCAGGCCTGTGCATTTCATTAGTGAGGCCTTTTGATTTTTTTTCCCAAGATAAATGCTATGAAGCAGAATCGTACTGAGAGTAAACTGACCTTTGGGCACAGTAATCACTGACCTGAGTTGCAGTTTAATAACATAGAAAGCACTAGGCTTCTGAAACAATCATATGAAATAAGGTTTCTGCATGTCATTTTACATCCTAACATGAAATGAATTACCCTTTGTTCAGAACTATGACAGTTGATCACAAATAAACGTGTTGCTTAAAGGAAGTCCTGCATTTCAGCCTCTTGAACAAAGAATTTAATAGGATACTTTTACAATAGTACGGGTATTTACAAGCATTACTTTTATTATGTCCCTTATCCAGGGTTTTCAAGTCACTTTTTAAAAGATTTTAAAACACTCTGGTAAGGTAAATATATATATAACTAGAATAGTTCTATATTTTAAGAAACTATAGGCAGTTTTTTTCAAATTCAGATATCTGATTTAGGCTCCCAAATCCACATGTAAGTGCCTAATTATGAGTTTAGAGCAGTGATTCCCAATCAGGTTGCCTTGAGATCCTTTCAGGGGTGCCACAGAGTACCACACAATGTTAGCGTTGTTAGGTGTGCAAACAAGATTCACAAGGCAAAATCAGAGATTTCAAATAGGAGTCCATAGTGTTAAAAGCATTTTGTCCTGTTGTGGTCTCAGTTCTTTGCAACAGAAGAAATTGCTCTATTATCTTTCTGTAGTCAAAAATCAAATGAAAACTAAGCACTAATATTTTCTGAGGAGTGTCTTGAGTCTATCAAAAGATGCCTTGAATCTGAAAAGGCTGAGGACCACTGATTTAAAGGCTTAATTTTTAGACACTGAGCCCAAAAAGTTTGGCTTATTGTCTTTACTTATTTTACTAATAAACTTGTGAAAGACCTTTTTTTAATTCAATTTACTTTTCTGTGTTTTTGGTGGTGGATTTTTTCTTTAATTGGTTCATTCACCGTGGACAACAGTATTTCACTGAGCAGTATTACTTTTTCTGGTACATAGATTAATGCAATGCTGGCATTTAACTTCCCAGCACATCAGGGGAATATGGAAATACACATAACCATTGTAACACAGGCACATTAAAAATGATACTTTGTTTATAAGGAATTAATCTAGTTCCCATACTCTTCCTACACACCCACAGTCTTCTGTCTGTCTGTCTGTCTGTTTGTTTGTTTGTTTGTATGTTTTAGTAAAACTTTTAGCTTTAAAAGTGAGCCTCATTTTGGTTTATCCATATAATGTTATTTAAGCTTGACTTCATAAAGCATGGTGCTGTATGCAGCATTAGTATATAGCAAGCTCATTGACACACCAGCTACACTTACATGTCATGATAAACTAATACATTTAGATATGCTTCTGTACTGCTATAAGCAATAAAATATCAAGAACTAAAATTGTTAATCTGCCATTCTGTAGCTTGTAAACCCTGTTGTTTGGCTTTAAATTAGCTTCTGTTGAAGATACAGGTCTCTCCAACATTATTACGAACTCTTATTTTCAGGGAAGAATGTTCCCTTAGGTGGAAAATTTAGCATATGACGTTTTGTTTGTGAAGGGATAATTTTGTTGACTGGGACAGAATGTGGATACAAGAAGTTACGGAGTTGCAGAAGTGCAAGCTAAGCAAATAGATTTCACATTTAAATATTTGTCACAGTGCATCCATGACTCAGAAGTGACTTTTATTTATAAAGAGGAATGTGTTTTACAGAATAATTACTTATAGCAGGGTTTTGAGGGAGTAGGAAGTTTTTGGGCACATGGCTTCCTTGGGGGTTTAACACGTATGAAGAATGCAGGATTCTTTTGCCTATCCATATTTACAATGCCATTGATAAGTTTGTTTTTAACAGGAAGTTGCTTTTGCTAACGTTAATTTTTCATTAGCTCCAGGGCTACGCTCTGTTGCAGGCCTATTCCTGGATGAAAAGAACACTTAATTTTTTTGTGTAAAGCTGGAAAGACTGCATAAGAATAAAAACCTACTATTATTGCTACTGCTATTTAAACACAAAAGACCCAAATCTCTGTTTCAGTTTTGAGGTCGCAAAAATGTTTGAGTAGCAACATTAGGTCCATGTCCTGAGTAAAAAGAAAGTGTTACTGGTGCCTTGGTGGATAGAATTATTTTAGTGTTCAGGCTGTTTTTATTTTGTTTTAAGCGTTAATTAGTCCATATTTTTTTTTAATGGCTGTCTAAACTGCAGCACCAGATTTGCACACAAATGTTGCATTGTGCGCAGCTGTCTGTGTTCCTGTATGCACAAGTGAATTGTAGCATAGGTAGCCAGTTTTGACAATTTGGCTGGATATTAATTAAAAAAGGAGACTAATTTGGATTTTGAATTTTTTAAATTATTTATTTCATAGTCTGTAGTACCCTTATGCTTCATTTATTATTAGTCACTGTCTTAGGCTAAGATTTTTCAGAGTAGCCTAAGTAAGGTAGACCTCCCCTTCCAGGGAATTGCAGAGGGACTGGAATGCCTGTGTCCAGCCTTTGAAAAAGGGAATTGCAGAGGGACTGGAATGCCTGTGTTAAGCCTTTGAAACCTCCAGCCATGAAGGTTATATTTGGAAAGCTTGACTGTAAAGAAGTCCTATTTGGAGCAGTAGTAAAGGAATAACCCATGCACATAAATTGGATACATGACAGTCTTTTTAATATTAACAGTTTTGTGAAAATAGTACATCACCACAAAATTCAAGACCACCATGTGCTCTACAGTGCAGTAATTGGTTATAGTTTGAAGCTTACAGAATTAATGGCCTAGAAGTGGATATTCATAGTTTCATAGTTTTAGGGTCGGAAGGGACCTAATAGATCTTCTAGCCCGACCCCCCGCCAGGGCGGGAGAACAACCCAAAAACACAAACAAAACCACTCACCCTAAAAACAAAAACGGGACTCAAATGAGTCCAGCCAGGTAAGTATCCAGCCTCTTCTTAAAGATCCCCAGGGTAGGGGCCAGCACCACCTCCCTTGGAAGTTGGTTCCAGCTCCTAGCCGCCCTAACTGTGAAGTAGTTTTTTCAGATGTCCAATCTGTACCTCCTCTCCATCAACTTGTGCCCATTACTCCTTGTTATGCCAGCGGGGGCTAGGGGAAACAGCATCTCCCCCAAACCCTTCTGGTTCCCCCTAGTGAGTTTATAGACGGTCACCAGGTCCCCCCTCAGCCTTCTCTTGTGGAGGCTGAATAGGTTCAAGTCCCGCAGTCTCTCACTGTAGGGTCTGCCCTGTTGTCCCCGGATCATGCGGGTGGCCCTCCTCTGGACCCTCTCCATGTTGTCCACATCCCTCCTGAAATGGGGCGCACAGAACTGGACACAATACTCCAGCTGCGGCCTGACCAGCGTCGCATAGAGGGGGAGGATCACCTCCCTGGCTCTACTCGAGATGCACCTGTGGATGCACGACAAGGTCCTGTTAGCCCTGCCAACCATGACCTCGCATTGTCAGCCCATGTTCATCTTGGAGTCAATAATGACACCAAGATCCCTTTCCGCCTCCGTGCTCTCAAGTAGGGAGTTCCCCATCGTATAAGTGTGCTGCTGGTTCCTACTACCCAAGTGCAGCACCCTGCACTTGTCCGTATTGAAACGCATCCTGTTCCTGTCTGCCCACCCCTGTAACCTATCCAGATCCTTCTGCAATCTCTCTCTCCCTGCTAGCGTGCTCACCTCCCCCCAAATTTTGGTGTCATCAGCGAATTTAAACAGGTTGCTCTCCACCCCAACATCAAGATCGCTGATGAAGACATTGAACAGCGCAGGGCCCAGGACCGAGCCCTGAGGGACTCCACTACCCACCTCCCCCCAAGTCGAATATGATCCATCCACCACCACCCTCTGAGTGCGACCCTTCAGCCAATCTGCAATCCATCTGACCGTGTAGGCATCTATGCCACAGTCGCCTAGTTTATTAATTAGGATGGGGTGAGAGACGGTGTCAAAGGCCTTGCTGAAGTCCAGAAAGACTACATCCACCGCGACACCTGCATCCATGGCCTTTGTGACCTGATCATAAAAGGCAATCAGGTTGGTCTGACATGATCTCCCACTAATAAATCCATGCTTATTGCCCCTGAGCATCATTTCTGATGCCGGCCCATCACAAATGTGCTCCTTGATGATCTTCTCAAAGAGTTTCCCCAGGATTGAGGTAAGACTGACGGGCCTATAATTGCCCGGGTCCTCCCTTTTCCCTTTTTTGAAGATGGGGACCACATTAGCTACCTTCCAATCGTCTGGCACCTGGCCCAAGCACCACGATCGCTCGTAGAGCCGTGCCAGGGGCCCTGCAATAACCCCAGCCAGCTCCCTCAGCACCCTGGGGTGGAGAGCATCCGGACCCGCTGACTTGAACGCGTCCAGCCCCTCCAGAAGCTCTCTAACCCGGTCCTCCCCAACCTGAGGTCTGAAGGCGATCCCCTCGCGTCCGGCTTCTATCACAGCAGGGAAGTCCCGGTCCCTGCACAAGAAAACGGAGGTGAAGAATTGGTTAAAGAGGTCTGCTTTATCCTCTGACGCAACCACCAGATTGCCCAGCATATCCTGCAGGGGCCCCACATTACCCGGCGCCTTCTTCATCCTCCCAATATATTTGAAAAAGGACTTTTTGTTATCCTTAATCCTGGACGCTAATCCGAGCTCTATATCCGCCTTGGCCTTCCTAACAGCCCGCCTGCAGGCCCGAGCAGAGGAGGTATACTCCTCTTTGGAGATTACACCCCCCTTCCACCGGGCGTACGCCGCCTTTTTGGCAAGCAGGCATTCCAATTTAAGATGCTTTCATAACCCAAGAGTGAGTTTGGCCATATGTGCACATCAGGGACTACTGTTATTTCTCACTGAATGTAATTTGGGGGAGGATATGAAAAATTTGTAAGATTAGCTCACAAGGCATAAGGATTGTTTGGGTATCACAAAACTAAGGAGTTAAATGGATGATACCACAATGACAAAGTGCTGCCAAAACACTAGAGAAAGGCAGTAATTATCTGATGCTTGTGAGAATGATGAGTATGTTCCTATACTAAAGCAGGTTGTTAATGTGATTACAGTGTGGAGCATTGTAAGAATGAGTGCTTTTATTGGGTTCCATGAATGTTCCCAGTATCCTTTTCAATAACGCACAAAAAATAAACAGCAGTAGAATTGAAATATTAGCTTCATAAAACAATCACTTGGCATGATTTCTGAAGGTTTTTTTAAATTTGGCAATGTTCAAGCACAATCCCCAAAAGGCCTTCCTTTTTAAGAGCTAGTAGATTATAGCATCACTGAGTAAACTGGACAGAAGAGCAGTTTGATTCTGAGGAGGAAAATCTCTGATCAAGCACAAAAAAAGGATTAAGATAATCTACAGTGACAGGAAAGAGAACAGCAAAAACTAGGCAGTCCAGTTGGATAGAAATGCGGTAACATGAGGTGTGTTTGAAATAATGCCTGCATGCAAATAAAGCATTCTGAAATAAGTGGGTAGCAGGTTTATATGTTAGGTTTTGAGCAATTTGTTATTTGAGAATTCAGGCCTCAGGATACAGCAAGACTGGTTACTCTCCTGTAAAATGCTATTGATCAATATTAGATTGTAGCCTTCTGGTTGGTTAGAGCCGGTGCCTGTCTAACATGGTCTTTCTCTTTCACAGATAACTGCAGTGACTTGAACTCAGAACTGCAGAGAGTGCTGACAGGACTGGAGAACGTAGTCTGTGGGAGGAAGAAGAGCAGTTGTAGTTTGTCTGTAGCAGAAGTGGACAGACACATTGAACAGCTCACCACTGCCAGCGAACATTGTGACCTAGCTATTAAGGTGCAACAGCATTAACTAATCACTGAATATATCATGTACACATGTGAGATACATAGTCATATTTTATATTTAAAGCACTTTTCATCTGAGAATCTCAGAGCATTTCAGAAAGACTTGCTGTGCCTCACAATGCCCTTCTGGGATAGATAAGATAATATTATGCGTAGGCCTTGGAACGTGTTTTTCATCCATAGATCTAAAAGAATGGATGTCTCATCTGTATTTTACAGATGGAGAAACTAAGGCATAGTATCAACTAACTTAGTAAGGGTAGCTGAGCAAACAAGTAATTTATCTTAAGTCAGATAGAAGTCAGTGACTGTACCTCACTCATAGCTATATCTGTAAATACAATGTATACTATTTCATTGCAGTTATGGGGCCATGGCAAAACACTGTCGTTTCAATTTTGTTGTTTTATTTTCTTATAAAACCAGTAGGTAAGCCACACACATCCTATGCTTATTATTTCTAACTGGAGAAGCCAGCACAGAGCAAAATATAATTTAGTTAATACTCACAGAAATGCATCTTAATCTAATTAATTATCCACATTGCAAAACCATAAATGGATTGTCCAACAGTGTAAGTAGCAGAGCACAAACAAAGAGCTTGGAAACCAGATTATCCATGAATACCCACCACAGACTATGCATGAGGAGTGGGGAAAACAAGTTGTTCTTGTACAAGATGGAAAAGCAAATTGAAACTGTTCAGCAGTCCAGTTGCAGAAAATAGATGAAGATGTAAAGCACTTCTGTTACTTTATCTTTGACCTATTTCAGAACCTGTTTAGGTTATGTTATTCCCATCAAAAAACCTTCTTCAGAAGGTGCCATGTAGAAGACATATTTTAAAACAGAAAAGTCTTGTTAGCTTGTGTTATCTGCAGTTTTGCCAGGAAGAGTGGATTAAGGATTTTCTGGCAAGAAAAGTTCTCTGAACTGTTTTCAGCATTTCTCTGCTTTGCTTTGTTGCAGGATTACGATCACATAAAGATAATAGAATGGCATTCTCTAATTTAATTTAAATTCTTAATAAGCTACTGTGAGGAATCTTTGTCCTAAGCATATCAGTTATTGATCATTATAGCTTGTTTTGACAACAGAATTTTCTGTTTTTTGGCAGATGGGAAAGCTGTTTCTTAGATAAAGTGATATATAAACCTAAAAGACTGAGGGCCCAATCCTGTTCTTTCTATTAGGTGCCCAAGCATGATCTTATTTCATTTTGTTTGTTAACTGAAAAACTATCCACACAAATGGTGGGTGGCTCCTTTTCCTGTTTACTGCTTTTTGTGACTTACTATTAAGGCTAACTGCGTTACAAAAGTAGATGCATTAATATTATTTCTTGGACCTTGAGCAGGGTAAAATGGGAGAGCACTTACACACCTATTTATCTCCAAGATATACAGAAGCTTTACTCTCAGAAGTTGTGAAGATATTGAGAGTTTTAAGCCTTACTTGATTCAGAAATTATTTTATACACTGCTTCAGTTGAAGGACTTTTAATTTAGGAAGGTCATATTTATTTGATGCGGCATTTTCACCATCGTTTTCTCTTAATGGCTAGGGACAGACATTCAAAAAGCCTGAACCTGAGTTGATTCAATCTTTGCAGGTTAGTCTAACCTGGCTAGGCTAAATCAGTTGGTAACTGTACAGACATCCCAGACCTGCAGGCACATGCCTGCAGTGGCTCAGGCTAGAAGCTGGGGGATGCTAGAGCAGCCCTCCCTCTCTTCTACAGTGCTGAGCTGAGCGGGATGTGGCCAGGCCCTGGTGGGACACTTTGATTAGGGAGGAATTCCACCCCCCACGAGCCCAGCAGTGAATTGATAACACAGTGTTTATCTCCCTAACTCAGTGTTTATCACCCCATTAAGAAAAGTTGATTCTGCCTTTGTCCCATCTGCCATAGCACAGACCATAGCCAGCATGTGGTTTGCTAACTAATGCTGTGTCTGTGTAAGGTAGAGGGGGTGGTGGAATCCCTGCTTAGAGGGGAGGGGGGGAGCAGAAGCCAGGCAGACACCTGCAGTCTCTGCTGGAGCTGCAGCCAGGGAGCAGAGGGGAGGGGCCAGCTCTGCTGTGGGGCCCCACCCAGCCCAGAGAGTGTGCTGGGATGGTGGGGGAGTCTGGTTTAACTTAAACTAGCAATGGGTCTGGGACAGACATTGCATAAACAGGTTTGAGCCAAATCAGTTAAGTCTAATACCACATTCAACCAGGTTTATCTCAAACCCATAGGCGACTGGTAGGGGGTGCACGTGCCCCCCCCCGACAGGGCCAGTGCCCCCCTGATGTGTGACACTGATGCTGTTGGTAGGGCTGGAGCCCCCCCTGACAGGGCTGCCACTGCCAAAGGCTTCTGCAGGTGCCCCCCCAGGTTCAGGAGGCACCAGTCACTCATGCTCAAACCGGTTTCAGCCATTTTCGAAATGGTTTATGTGCACTGAACATCTGTTCTATTACAGGTTTAAACCAGTTTCTGATCACTTAAACCAGTTTATGTGTAATGTCTGTCCCTAGCCAGTATGTTCTTCTCCTGTTGACTCTTCAGGTTACTGAATTGTCAGTTATAAAGTGTATAAGTGACCAGACTCGCACTTAGTTATCAAACATTTAAAAACTTGCTGTCTGGAATGGCCTATATTTTATTTGATTTATTTTCTAAGACTTCCCACACTTCTCTACGTAATCTGTTGCTTACAAAGTGATCATCTTCTATAGTATCCGAGCACTTTGTAAGGATTATTTCAATCACAGTGTAAAACTATGTGATCTAGTTTAATTGTTTCAGGCAATATTTTCTTATTTCTTCCTCATCCAGGTTCTATCTCCTTCCCTTTCTGTCTTTGTTTTTATTGTGGTTGTGGGCGAGCTAAACTGAAACCCTTGCAGAACCAAAGGAGGCCTGTAGCCATTCTAACCTTCTCAAGTGAGTTCATAGCCTTTGGACTGCTGATGGCAATGGTCTGCCTCCCTCTGGGTGCCACCTTCAAGACAGAGTTTGGTACTTCTAGCAGAAAGAATGTAGTTGTCTAGGGAAGTGATCACTGCTGGAGGTGAAGAGGGAGGGATTGAGAAGGAGAGAGGAAAAGCAAGATAATCCATTAGGTAGCTTGGAAGAGTTCCTTGGAACGCCTTCAAAATTGGGACTAGGGCTTTTAATTGTGAATCCAGTATTTATGGAGCACTGGGATTAAACATCTTCAGTTACCAAGACTGTTCAAGAGATCTGTGTTGTGGACCTTTTGGAGCCTTCTTTAAAGGTTGATGTGCCTTTTCTTACCTACCTACTGGAGAGCTCCTGCAGAAAGTGCAGCATGTGGATTCAGTGGGTAGGAGACAGATTAAAATGCAGAAGCTGCCTTTTAACACTCTTTAGTTTGCTTAACACTGGTAACTTATCCTTTGCTACAGGGGTATCAAGCTGACTAGAATCAGGCCCACAGACCAGCCCTCTATGCTAGAGCCATCTCATGCCCTGGACTGGTTCTGTTTGCTCACCAGGTTCCCGTGTATACTGCGCACAGCAAGCAGAAGACTGGGGCTGACATGCTGCATGTGGGACACGTCCTAGAGCAACAGGCAGCACCACAGGTTGGCTGACAGGCTGAATCCAGCCCGTCAGCCATATCTTTGACACCCCTGCTCTACTGAGTCTGAAACAGTAGTCAGATGTTTACAGTATAAGTAAGTGGCAGCAGTTGGTTCTCCTGTCAGTAAGATCCCTCTCTCTCCACATGATTTCTGTCTGCATAACTAACTTAGAGCTAGGGATAGGGGAGGCAAATGTTTTTCTGTTTGCTGTAGCCTTGGATTGTTAGTGCTAGAATCATAATAGCAGCCAGGGGGTCACAGGCTTTTCAGAAGGTGATGAAGAAACTGCCTTGGACATAATCCTACAATGGCAGAAACAAGTTAAGAGTGCACGTACAATTAATATATGTGCAGAGTCTGGAGATTGTCTTCTCTGACTCCAGGCCCCAGTTTTGTGCCTCTTTTCTTTGAGAGCTATTAGACGAGAGCACCTAGAAGATGGCAGAAACATGAACAGGGCCCAGGAATCCTGATCCTGTGGTTTAACTTATAGCCATATTCCTGGCTGCAGGCCCAAATATGTAGAAATACTGTGTCCTCCTCCTTTGCTGATTAGATTTCATCTTCATTTTAATAGTGTTGCTGGTAAGTGTTTGACCCAAACAAAACGTGTAGGTTGCACAAGTTGCAGTTTCTTGCTTTACAAACAGTACAAGACCTTGAAATGAACAGATTGCCCATCTATCTGTGTTATTTGTTTAAGAACTTTACATAGAATAGGCTGACTAATGCTTAAGATATTTAGAACAGCAAATATCTATCAAAGTAATGGATACCTAGCACTTACAAATCTGTGAAGATTAAAACATCTGTTAATGTTTTTGTCTATTATCTCTATGCCACACCTTTGTGACGTAAGGTATTGGGAAAAACTGAGGTGGGGAGAATTTATATTTTGTCTGATACCACAGAAAGCAGTGTCAGAGTAAGGACTGAAATTAAGGTGTTCCTGGCATCCACTTCTGTGCTCAGATCATCAGCTCCTGAGTCTAATTACAGTGCATGAAGCTAAATCCTGGATGTACCTTTGATGTATCACTGTACACAGTCAAACTTGTTGTAACACTGTTTAATTAATGAGTGGAGGAAAAATCAGTAATGCAGTAGTTACACAGATATTTTGTGTCCCAATTAACTTTTATTCTTTGTCACAAATACCATGGTGTGCTAGTCACCAAACTACAGCTATGGCAAAGCATCCAAAGACCCAGAACCATTGTTTAGTCAGCAAATGGATGTCAGTCTCATCAGACTGTGGGAGTTTAAGGTCAGGATTATATTTGGATTCAGTTAATTTATGTCCATAATTGCTGTCATTGTGCGTGTCAGAGCAGCGGGATGAGTGTCAGTGTTAGGGGTGGGTACATGTAACCTATTATGTTGCTTTTCCAAAAGAGGTCTGTGGGTAAAGAGTTTGGAATCTTTCCCTTTTCTTACTGATCATTTTTGCTCTTTCACCTTTTCTTCCTGTGGCAAAACTACAGTTTGAAAGGGGCATCAGAACAAATTAGCAATGCTGACAAAGAGAATATGTGTCAGATTTGTTGCCTATTAAACCATTGCCAGTAAGTAGATTTAATTGTAAATGGGAAACTTATTATTCCAAATAAGAGATTTTACTTCTTGACTGGCTTTCCAGTATATTGTTTTCACTATCAAGAGACTCTCCAGTACCCTCTTTTGCTGTGCTCTGTCTCTAAGGAGTTTTATTTCCCCTTCTTCACATTTCAAGAATGAAATCCATTCATGCATCCAGAATTTAAAATGTTCCTTGAAGCGTTAAGTTGTGTGGAAATGGCCTGTCTTGTCTCCTGCATATGATTATTGGAGACCTGTAGATTTTGGTGCAAATAATAAATGAAGGATTGCAGTGTTTTTGTGTTGCAGAATGATTACAAGAGATTGCTAATCAGTAAATGAGGGTAGGCACCTGCTAACAAATAGCATATTTTGATATTTGGCCCATACCAGTATGGGTCAATAAGTTTATAGTTGTCAACCTATTACAAGCACATGTGAAGGAGAAATGTGACCCCATACCAAGAGAAAGAAACTGCTAGTCAGATCATCATCTTCCAAAGCAAGGACAGTTGGCAACCATAGTGTGTTAAATTGTGTCTGTGAAATAGATACAGTCCAGACAAGGGGGAAGATGTGGAAGGGTCTGTGCACCATTCCTTCCTAGGGTCATGACGTACATAGGGACTGCAAAGGCTCCACCATTTTAATGAATAGTGAAACTTTTCCCTGCAGGATGCCTGGCTAAGGCTCCTTCTCTTCTCTTATCTCATATTTCCCTAAAGTGGACAGTGTGTCCCTGGAGATGCAGAAAAAGAAACATCCTTCTGCCATCCTTACATGTAGAGATGCAGTTGTCCCTGAAGCAAAGCCTGCTGGAGTAAAGAGAAGGTCTTTGTGTTTTGTCCTACCCTGTATGTTTGCTGAAGGGCCAGGCACAAACTGGAAATATCTGTCTGTTGTTTTACTTGCAAAATAGGCACTTCACTTACCTATGGTGAGGCTTACTTAATGCACTGGAAATACTTGGAGATCCTCAGAGGAAAGGTTGCTGTGTAAATGCAAACTGTATAGCATTGTTTATATGTATGTATGTAAATGAGATGGTGATTTTGTTTATAAAGCACCCCTTTTCTGTCAGTGTGCTTGTGGTGCTGTACAGTGGGGAGATTATAAAATACTATAACTTTAGCTGCAATTTAAAATATTTTTTTGTTAAACTAAACAAAAGGCACAAATTTAAATGTGTTAATTCTGTATGTGGGGGCATACGCTTTACATATAATTTACGTATCTCCTTTAACATCATTACAGAGTGGTGATAATGTGCTACTGGTCTCTTCAAAACCTGTTGTCTTGCTCCTTTTTATTTTAGTGTCACTTTGTTTTTGCAGACAGTAGAGGAAATAGAAGGTGTACTAGGACGGGACCTTTATCCCAATTTCTCTGAAGAAAGATCTCGATGGGAAAAGGAGCTGGCTGGTTTGAGGGAAGAGAATGAGAGCCTCACTGCCATGCTGTGCAGCAAAGAGGAGGAGCTGAACAGGACCAAGGCTACCATGAATGCTATCCGGGAAGAAAGGGACAGATTACGCAGAAGGGTAAGATTCCCCGTAACTGTCTGCCCAGTTTATAGATGGTCCTTTCTGGGTACAGCGATCTGAACAGGTCCTATCCTATCTACATAGCTTTGTAATTGGAAAAACTTTGCAACCTTCTCTCTGGAATCTGTTTTGAAAGTCAAGGACTATGAATGGGTTGTAGTTAACCTTGTAGTTAATTAAAGGTAACTACAAGGAGTCTCTAGATAAAGACCAGCCACTGTATACAAAAATCTAATGTCAAAGAACATGAGTTAACTTCATGGACAGAAGAGCAGGTGTAACTTGTCTATAGTGAGATACATTTTTTGGTGGACAGCAAAAAGATCTTTGCCTTTGAGAATTCAGTTTGTGATTAAGAGCAAGAAAAAAGCAGGATTCTGGTCACTAGGATCTAATTTTCTGCAAATTGAACTTTACATTGTCCAAACTATGCCCTGTTTCCCTGACTCCATTATCCAGCCCTCTGCTATGTTACACAGCTCTTTTTCTTCATATAGACGCCGAACTAAGAACATTGGAAATTAAGTTATGGAAAAGATGAAAGCTTAAAAAGTATATGATCAATCTCTGATATTTTTAAAAATGATTTACTGCCTTCCATTAAAATATACAAGTTAAGAATTTTGTACTGTGTTATGAAACATCTGCATATAAAATAGTACTTTTGCTTTTAAAGCATGGGACTGTTTTTCTTACCAGCTTTGTGCTGCACATGGGGGAGTATTTAGCAGGATATATTGTAAATTATTGAAAATTATATTTCTTCTATAATATGAGTGTCAGTGATACAGTCTGCAGAGCCACATTATCAGGTGGGGACCCTATGCAGAAGTCCAGGACCCCACCCCTGCATGCCAGATCCAGCACCTGCAGTGCCTGCTCAGGATACTCTTGGTCCAGCCAGACTGGGCACTGGATAAAGAATGTGGGGGGAAAGGAGAGACTCCTTAAGTTCCTTGCATGATGGATCCAGCAGCCGGTCTGGGTCTGCACCACACATGATGCCCGCTCCAGCTGGTCCACCCCAGACTAGCCAAAACGAGTGTCGTGTGTGACTCATGTCCTGATCCAGCTGGAGTGGGCATTGCATGCAGTGTAATTCCAGATCAGTGAAAGAGTGGGAGGTGCTCCCTGGGTCCCACACAAGCTGGATCCGGCAGCTGCTCTGGCTTGTCTGGACTGCATCACACACTATCCAGTCCAGGACCCATACTCCTTGCAGTGGGTGCCATGTGCCATGCAGTCCCAGACTAGCTAGAGCAAGCACCATGGGTGGTAGATCCAGCATGCAGGTGACG